CGGACTTTCGGCAATAACAGACACAACTTTCTCCCATTAGTTTCCTAAATTGGGGCTTACTGTAATATCTTTCCTTTTTAATTCGTTGCTTGATATTATTGTTGTTTTGCACGATTAAGTAATCCTCTGAAGATAAAAATAGCATTTCGAAAAACAGTATAAATAAGCACATCTACAAGAAAGTTGATATAATAACCGAACGTTATCAAAGTTTTGGCAGAAGTATATTTTTGCTCCCGTTTATAATTTAATCTTTTGTAAGGACTTTACTTTTTTTACATCATTCTGACATTGTGAGACTCTCTGTCTCGACATATTTTAACTACTTTTATGTTTGTTCATAATTAATTTAACATTTTATTCATGAAATCTTAAATTAATCATTTATAAATAATTTTTATTCATATGTAAATGGAAGTTAAACTTTCAGATTGTATTTGGAATTAAATTATTCCAAAAATAATATAAAGTAAGTTACTTTAACTTAAAATAGATCATCCTTACCAACTACGATTTCTTTATTGTTAAATAACTTTCTGGCATAATTAAATTACTGGATTTTATTCTGTCTTGTATATGTCGTTTTAATCCAAAGTTTAATGAATAGTTTATTAAAATTTAAGTAACATTCGCATATTGTTCAGAGATCTTCATGTTTCCCTAATGGCTTCCGAAACATCGCATAAAAATTCTTTGTGGCTATCCATAAACTACGTAACACAAGTACTGTATGGGTGAGTGGGTATGCAAGTAAAAATTATGATGCATTTCAAGTGGTGGAGACGTTTACGAAAACGTTATGTAATAGTTGGGTCTCGACTTTTAGCTAACAGACAGGGTAACAGAATGATTTATTTTTGTTTCTGAAGTGTTGCATAGCGAACTGTATTATTCATATTAATGCTTTGTAGATTATTCCTGTAATTAATAAAATTATTTAACTCCGTAGTGTGTATTATTCCCTAGTACGGTGCAGTTAAAGAGAATAATCAAGGATACTCGTTACGTAATTTTGGAGATAGGTATGTACGGAGCGTTTCTGGGGTGATAGTAGTAAAAGTACAAAAATAGCGTTATGTGATTTATGGACGATCGTTCTACAAATATTAACAATTGATTGATAACATTTATAATATCAGAGAGAAAACTATATTAAGAGTATGTTCCAATTCACAAAAATATTGAAATAATCCAATAGCAACTAGTAAAAAAGTTTTTCTGTGTTTCTATCTGAAGTTAACCGTTTGTATACACAATAAATAAACACATAAATAACAGTTCCTACGTGATAAGCTCATTAAAGAAAATTTGTGCTTAATCGGAATTATAGTATTCGAGGTATTTGCTTGTATGTAAGATGTAATTATTTATAATTGAAAGAAATATAGAATGAAAATAGAACAAATATAGGGAGGATAGATATACAGTTGTTTTACGCAAAGTTTTTTTTTATTAATTATTTTATATCTTTTATAATTTTGCATTCCTTATTTGCAATTCTTTTTCTGAAATTTATGAAATCTATAACAATAAAGAACTCTGTGCCGAAGTGTGCTTGAGTGTTGAAACTACACTACAATAGTCCAAAAGGTTGAATAGTCAGGGAAGATTGTACTTATTATATGTTACCCTTATTCATTGTAACATCATAAAGCTATTTAATAATCATAACTTTGTAATCATCTGCATGTTTTTCTCCGTAAAAAAGTTGTATTTTTACTTTACATGCTCTGAAATCGTTTGCATCTCATTTCTTAAAATTTCTATTTATTAAGCTTAGGTTTCAATTAATAATGTGGCTTATCTATGGTATGTGCTGTACAATATATCAGATATGGCTTTTTGTACTTTTTCCTTTCCCTGATCCCCAGAGCGGTAGGTTGACAGCTTAACCGCTCGGATATCCGGCTATCGCAAAAGATATTTTACAAAAATTAAGGTTTAATTATTTAGAAGAATGCTTATTTCTGTTTTTACATCATCAAACTAACTTTCACACGATTAACATTTATGATTAATACAAAGAATCACTATTTTCTCGACAATTTTTATATATTTTCTGTTTCTACGTCAACTACTTAAAAATTTTATATCTACACTAAAGCCTCATTCAATACATTATAGAAGATAATGAAATAATAAATATGAACTATTTATTATAAATAGACTATTTTGACTACAAACTATACTGATAAATTTTTAAATGACTGATGTAAATCATAAAAGACTTTTTTCTTTAGTTGTCTGCATCAATTTATTTTGTACTTTTCAACATATTAGACATAAAGTAAATTTTAAACAAATATTATGCATAAAATATTTAAAATAGAGATATGCTAAAGATTATAATTAATTAAAGATTAACTAATTAAGAAAGTAACTAATTAAAGATTAAAGTGTATTAAAAGTAGTAGGTTATATTTTTAACAATAGGCTCATTTTGTTATAAGTAACTTATATCTTATAAATATTCATGAAAACCGAAATTGGTTAAATGCCAAAACAGTTTCTATAAATAAGTTTAGATTTTCATATTTAGATTTACTTATAAGATTTGTCATATGACAGATTTTATAAGTTAGAGCAATCGATCAATTTATTGTTCACTTTTGATGATTTATATCTGTAACAGACTGAGACATCATAATCGGATATTTATCAAATTTTTTAATGTTGAGAATTCTAAAAAGTTCTTTTACTTTCGTATATTTGTCTCTTTTATTAAATGTAGTTAAATAAATTTTGATAATCTGAAATTCTCACACGAGTAAATTTTTAATTTACGCTCAATATAATTATTCTGGTTGACAAAAAGGATATACAGTATAAATAAATAAATAAAAAACAGAGAATACTACAATGATTAAGGGATAAAAATTTTTTATAACTACTCGAGCCCAGTGGCGCACTGATTTAATCTTTGGGGATCCGAGTTGAACGGATAGAAAAAATTTTTAATACGAATTCGATAAAATTCCCACCTTATGTGACCGCTAATTCGTCTGTGATATAGAAATAAAATACACAGTATAATAAAAAAACTGAATTTTAATTAGAAAAAGCTTTTTTTAAAAAAAAATTACTAGTGTTTTCTTTCATTTCGGAGGTGCAAGGTTCCTTGGCCCCCCTCTGGATGCGCCACTGCTCGAACCTACCAGTAGCCAAGTAAATAAAATCACTGAACACATAGTGGATTCATGCCTGACCAACGGAGTGAATACATGGAGTTTTCCGAGTTTACTTCGCGTTTTATAGTAAATAGGGGCCAGTTTTCCGCAGAAAGTCCACTCAAGAGGCCTCCTGGCCTCCCGTATCCCATAAAAACCAACCCTTATAACTACTTAAATTATTTTTTTAGTTAAAGAAACTCAGAATTTTTTTAAAATATGAATTAAATCTGCAAGTATTGTCGTAAGTTTAATTGTCCTATTGATCTTTTATTTGTCAATAAAGTTTCGACTTGATTTTGACTTCATTTGAGTAAAGTCTTTTAAAATAATTCACAATTTCATATAATAGAAAATGTTTTATTAAATCTGTAGACCTAACAAAACATTACTTTTCTCTTTATAACATCAATATTTAATCATAGATATTAAATTTGAAATTAAAAGACTACTTTTTAGCTCGGTCAATACATAGTATTAAAGTATAATAAAATGCGAAAAGTCAGTCTTTCCGGAGAGAGAAATTACACGTGCTTATGAATAAATTCTTCTTTGCTGATTCCGATTTTTTACTTTAAACATCTCCGTCATTGCTAAAAGTATTAAAGCGCTCTTTTTTCCTTCTTGGCAAAACATTTAACAGTGACTTCTATATCGTCATTTAAACTTGGATCACGAAAACATGACAGACTTCATTTCAACACTGATTTGACAGAAGGAAACATGCGCCAAAATGAAAAATGAGCTTTTAATATCATTTGCAAAGTATGTTTAAAAGTCATTGGTTATTAAAGCAATGGTTTTTAAACATAATATAAACATTACTATATTTAAAACTTATACATAATCTACACAGAAATATTATAGCCTAATATGAAGCAATTTAATCTTTATTTTAATTTTTAATGAGATTATAAAAAAACAGTTTGGTTCTTTACTTTCTAAACAGTATTAAAAACCTACTTTCCAAATTCAGATATTCACATTTTAAATTCAACTTGCATATAGTTTGTCTATTTTGGTGGATAGATGGATGGAATAAGGCAATGCAACATATGGGTGATTTGCCGTTGGGGATGGGAGGACTTTCCATAGGAAACTAGTACTTATTTACGTGTTACACGCACGAAGGAAACCTGGAAAACTCCACGAGGCTTAAAACTCTATCTCTCTGGAAACTCGGGATCGANATCATCAGGTTAGCGCATCCGATTCCGTTACAGTGCGGTTCTATTTTACCTTTTAAATTACTTTTGTGTGCTTTGTATTTGCTTTCGTTACAGTTAAATAGCATTATAAATATTTAATTGTATTAGAGAAAAAAGAAATTAAAAAACAAATAATGTCATAAATAAATATTGAAATTTTTTTTAACCTGTTGTAAGATTTTGTTAAAAAATAGCTTTTATGGTATTAATTATTATGAAATGGCAAAAAGCTTAATTTTGAGGGCAGAGATGAGTTTATTTTAAACCATTTTAATTGTAACGAAAACAAATATAATTCACATTGCAACCTAATAGGAATTAATACACACTATGTCATGCATGTATTAGCAGAGGAGGTCCTACATAAAGGTGATAAAGACGACGGAAAGGTGATTCCTGTTACATGTTCAAAAATCACCCATTATTAGAGAAAAATGAAATTAAAAAACAAATAATGTTATAAATAAATATTGAAAATAAAAAATTCATAATTAAAATTATACAAATTGTTATCATAGTATTTTGCCATGCCTGAATTATTCATAAATATTACAGAATTCTATCCCGAAACTTTAGTCGGGTCGCGGATATTTCAAAAACAAAAAATTATTTTAGAAAATAAATTAATCGTTTTCATATTATCTGATAGGAAATGGAACCATCGAATTTAACGAATTTTTAAGTATGATGTCTAAGAAAATGCACGAAACCGACAGCGAACAAGAATTGAGGGAGGCCTTCCGTGTCTTTGACAAAGATGGTGATGGTTACATCAGTGCTACCGAATTGCGCCACGTAATGACTAATTTAGGAGAGAAGTTGACCGACGAAGAGGTAGAAGATATGATCAAAGAAGCCGATTTGGACGGTGATGGAGTCGTGAACTATGATGGTAAGATAATTATTTATATTTTATATTAAATTTTATTACGTGGTAATATATGATACATTTCACAAAATATTTATAAAGATAAAAAGTTAATATTTAAGTGTTCATATTTTTAAAATTATAAAATTATGAAATTTCTAAATTTGAAAAAAAAAACTTAGTTTTGTAAGTTATAACCATTGGCACTATACGTTAATATTGTAGAGAAAATTATTTTCATATTGATGAAAAGAATTTCTAATTAAAATGATTTTCACTTTAAGAATTTCATAATTATCAGTTTTTATTTAAAATATGTTTATTACTATTGGAAAACTGATTTTTTATTAAACTATTCTCATGATAACATTTTCATTGGAATTATGAAATTACATTGTTAGAATGGTCACTGTATTAAGTGTAACATTACAATAAGTAAATAAGTACAGTATACACCCTCGATTTAACAAATCCCGATTTAAATTCTGCCCTATAGGAAAAAGTTAAACCTTTTTTTATTCGCGAATGATAAAAAGTTAAATCAATGAGTCAATGAGTACAAGTTACTCAATGTATAGTACATTATAATTTTATTTTATCCGTTCTTATACATCATTATAACATTTTAACATAGCTTGCACATTTTCAGTTCGTTATTAATAAACTATATGTTTTTTAAACAAATTCACTTTAACGAACTTTGGTAATAGCGACACTCTTTTCCCTAATTAGCTTAATTAGTTTATTAAAGAGAGGACCTACTGTATGCTTACATGATATAACTATTCTAAAATTTAACTAAATTTTCCAACAAGATCATAAGTTATATTTCCGTATTACACATTAGAAATTTCGTACAACATAAAAATTTCCACTATTTACAATTATCAGAAGCGGATCCAGAAGAGACAAAAGAGCCGATTGTTTTCTATAATTTCGCTTTGAAATCATTTTTAAAATATCTCATTGCATTTTGTTAGATTTCGTAATGTCATAAACATTTTATAAAATCCGATTTATTTTTATAAATTAACAAAAGTAGTGAAGATGTAATTATCCGAAGATTCAAAAGTTCAGTAGCTTGTTTAAGCAGTAAAAAGATTAATTAATTGAGCTGCAATTTTAAAAAAATTATAAACCTATAAACTCTAATTATCGTCCGTCTGGCTGTTTTTCCTTAATCTCGAGAACAGAATTAGATATATAAAAGATAAGACCAGATATGGAAACCCTTAGAGGCAGGAGGTCTCGATTAACTATATAAGAACTTCCAATACAAACCGAAAATCATGTTATTTCAATTCAAAAATTTTCCTCTGAGAGGTGTAAGATGTTAGATAGATGTCCGGCACGACTCTGTTGTTAAAGGAAAAGTATGATGTACAGCCACTACTGATTTGAGGTGGAGAGCATATAATTTAAATTTAAATAAATGAAAAATATGATTAAAAATTACATTGTGACATCGTCACAATAAATAATTTCTCGTTATATAACTAATTTATAATTGTAATAATATTACATTATTATTTAAATTGTTTAAATAATTAAAATTGTATAAGTAATGATTACTTTTTCGTTTTTTTTTATTAGTTATTTTATGTTATACCTAAGCAATGATCTTGACCTATAATATTTGCAATTGTGAAAAGAATCTTACAAAAAAAAAAAAAAAAATCAGATTCTTACACTTCCTTTAAGAAATAAAGGAATCCTGGGATGAAAAAGTACAGTACCTATTATTGCCATTCTCAGTTCACTAAAATTTATATTTGAAGTTCAGATTTATTTGTTTATATACGGCAACGCGACACGTGGGCGATTTGCCGAGGGGAGATATCTACCGGGAGGACTTTCTACTGAAAACTGGCCTCTATTTAGGTATTAGACACGTAAAGAAAACCCAAAAAAATCCACATGGCCATCTCGTTGGCGAGACGTGAACCCGCAACTAAATACTATCAGTGTTCAGTGGTAATATTCACTCGATCACCGGCGGTCTTAAAGTTCTAACTATTAAATTGTTAACCATAGCAGAAATTTTTAATAGCGACAAAGCAAAAACGTTTTAAAGATGATCAATATATATATATATTTTGTTTTTTCTAGAATTTGTCCTGATCCTGACTCACAAATGAGGAAAATGAGAGCAACGTGAAGAGTGCCTGCGATATTTTGTATATTTTGGAAGTACCCGCACATCCAGCTTCTCTCCTCAAGGCCTCCGCCTTCCTCTCACGGAAGACTTCGTTGTCAGCGACGTTTACGGTTTGTTACTCACCAGATGTGTTTAAATGATCTCCAAAGTGTGATTAATGTTGTTGACGTTTTTTTCACACCGACTTATACATAACATAGAATATATTTCTGTTAATAAAATCTTTATTGAAATGATTTTTGTCAGAACTCCATACTTCACCATTATCAAATTAATCAATTAATTNTTTGATAGCATTCAAAAATTTGTGAACAGATTACAATTTTTATTTTAAATACAAAGTTACAAATTTAATATATTTTTTTCTGAAATTATGTGCAGCAATTATTATAAGCTTCATTAAATATATTGGTGCATAAGTTCATAATAAATACATCTGGGTACTATCAAAACTTGAATTTAAAAAAGCAAAAGCTTGCTAAATTTAATTATAATTCACTTTCATTGAATTAATTATAATAAATTAATTACAGTCTACTAATGCTCAAGATGTTAGTAGTGTTTTTTTATTTGTAGTAGATATGTTATCACTTAAATTTTCATTGTATTTATGATTTTAAAAAGAATTATAAACAGAGGATATTTTAAGAAATATGAGGTCAGTTACATTTTTTTGTACCTTTTTTACACGAATGTCTAAAGTAAACTGCAATATTACATTAAAAATTACTAAATAAAGTAGTAAATGATATTACACGTTGTAATGTATAACGCTGATCATTACTATTTAATGAATATTACAGCGCTTTAACAGAAAACAATAGAAATAATACGAAAAAAGTAATTATAATGATACAGTGTATAGGATATCTCAAATGAAAAACGAATAAATGATATTATCTAGTTACATGAAATCAATTATACAAGTATTGATTGATATTCTCGTCGATCATTCGGTAATAATTCCTAAGTCATTATTAAATTACAATTGTCTAGCCATGTATTTATGAATATTGATATTACGTTATGGAAAAATCCTTTTGTTATGGTAATATTTATTACAAAGAATATACAGTGCCGTAGTCGCTAACTAAGCACATATATTATGTGCTTAGTTAATGCATTAATTTTTCTTATAGATTTAAAATTTGGTAGTAGAAACAAGAAAACGAACAATTACTCGTAAAAAATTAAAGGTGCTGGTTTGTCTTTTTAAAATAAAAACTTATTCTTTAGTTTTATTCATTTTTTAGATTTCATGTCGTAGTAAGCTGGAGTGTAAGATACACTTTATACTGTTTTTATAGAAATAAATAATAGCGGTTATATGAATAGTGGTTACCGCCGTATATTATAGAATATACGGCGGTACACTATTCACTATTACAATCTTGTATATAATCACTATTACAGTCTTGTATATTTTTAAATCTAAACATAAAAGAATTTCCCATAAAAATGATGTCAATACTCATAAAAAATCTCAGACAATTCATAAACCTATCTTTAATTAAGTAAAAGTTACGTAAATTATTAAAATATATAAATTTATTTCAATTTTCTTTCAAAATACTTTTATAATTTTTAATGATAACAAATAACTTTTATTTTATCTAAATAATGCAAAGTTATTTGAATTGTGCACATATCGATTAAGAAATTTTGTGATGTCATAAGAACTTGGGATTTCATCCACTTTCAAAATTTTATATCATAATTTATAAAAATATATTATTGGATTTGCACTTTTTTTAATTTTATTTAATATCATTTATATGTTGAAGTACCAAGCAAATTAGAATAAAAAAACATGATTGAAAAAATTAAGTGATATATTTTGTTTAGCGCTTATTTGTTGAAAATGAATATTCAATTATTTATTTAAAATTATCGACATTGTTATAAGCTGCTAAATAATGTAATCTGTTTTTAAATTTTGCTTGGTTTCGTATTAATAAAATCAAATTTAATATTATCAATTTCCATTTTTCTGTTGGATTTCTACGTTTACTTGTATATATTCTTTAAAGTAAGCCCACCGGTGGTCGAGTGTCTAAAACCACTGAACACTGGTTAGCGCCTCACCAAGGAGCTGATCACGTGGAGAAGTCCCTCCCAAAAGGAACCTCCCCTTGGCAGATCGCCCATGTGTTGTATTGTCTTCTACCATCAATCCAATCCATTCTTTGATGTAAATGACGAAGAAAACGAAAATAACTAACTACATTCCTTTAATTTCAAAGCTAAATAATAAGTATCGACAGTTTAGAATATACTGTAGGTTCAGTACGGTACATCAAATAGAATTATTAAAATGTAATTTTTATTCCCGGCTGTTATATAGGCCTATATAACAGAGGAAAAGTATGGCGATCGGTAAAAAAAAAAAGACTCCCAATATTTTTTACGTTTTTGGATTCAGAGACCTTGAAAGAAACGTCCTAACATTTTTGCATTTTGTTGGGTTTTTTTTTCTATATGTATGGATGTATGTTATTGAGTGTCTATTTAGCTTAATGTCTCAGGATGGAGTACAGATTAAGTAACGAAATTTTGCATGGTGGCTTGTATATGAGGAACATTAATGTTATTAAATTTTGGTGGTTAAAGGTCAAGAGGTGGGGAGATAAAGGGGGTTAGTGACATCTCCAGTAGGGTCATATTTAATGACAATTTTACTCGTTATTAACATTTATAATTTTTTTTTATAAAGCTCATCCTTACCCTCAAAATTAAGCTTTTTGCCATTTTGTAGTAATTAAAATTATAAAAGTTATTTTCTTAATGAGATCTCATGATAGCCAAAAAAGTTAAGACTTAACTCCTGCGCTTTTTGTCGAAACTTCTGAAATTTTGCAGGAAAGTATGTGTTAGAGATATTGATTCTATTAAATTTTCGCGGTTAATGGTTAAGAGGGTGGGGAGAAAGAGAGAATCACATGTCATATCTCTAGGTCTGGGGTAGAACTTAATGAAAATTTTACTACTCGTTATTAGCATTTACATATAACACACACATATATATATAACTCATCTCTTCCCTCAAAATTAAGCTTTTTATCTTATCATTTTATAATATGATAATATAAAAAGTTTTTTAATACAGTCTCATAACACAATTGTGGCACCACACACAATTCTAACTATTTTGCCGGAGAATTTAAGCAACTAGTTGTTGGATTCTTTTTTTAAAGTTTGGTTTTATAATGACTGCCATCTTGAAAAAAATCCTTTTTGGTTTAACAAATTTTCAATTATGATGTCTGTTTTATAATGATCTGTCATATAGGTTATATTAGTAAAATGCATAATAAGAGTAGCAAAAGAAATTCATATTGAATTGTATCATATTGAATGTATAAATTTATAAAATGTCGAAAGACACGGAAACTATAAAACATCGTGAATTTTTTTCAACCAAATGCCTTCTAAATTATTTTCTGTTTTAACCCCTTTGCGTATACACTAAAAGAAATTATTCTGGAATAAAACGTCCATCCTGAGCACAAATACCTGCGAATCTGGAACTTTGTAGGGAAAGCGAGACATGTTTGAAATTCGTCATTGAGCAGTATGCCGTATAAATTAATAAATTTTCTCTGCGTTTTTAGTATTTTCGCACTTCAATATTAACAGGCTGATTTTCGTTACGCCTATGTTAGTGACACCCGGAAATTTTTTTCGGATTTTGCGGAGAAACGGATATGCAGCATCCAGATCAAGGTCGTCTGCTATATCCGTTCAGCGATAGAACACACGCTAGTGATTTCTCGTTTGTCGTCTTTATTTCTGACAAGATGCACAAGTATTTATTTTTAGTATTCTGACAGCGTATTAAACTATCTATTCTCGTTTTTCCACTATCGTTTCGTTTATTTCAAATTTTGTGCGGTTTTCGTTTACAAAGTCTTTTTTAATAATTTACATTCATATATTTTTAATGTTTTTAATTAATTAAAAAAACACAAGTTAGGTTAAAGCAATGAAAACAAGCGCTATTCTCCTGCTTCTATATAACATCGGTAAAGGATGTTAAATAGTACACCCGTAAATTGAGCAATTTTTACTCACCAGTTTCCTCGACATGCTGGTTAATGTACCGGTATGTGCAAACAATCTGTGGGTTTCAACCTTTTATAATCATACTCATAAATCATGCCAACATAAAACACCAACAGGATGGCAGAAACGATTAAGGAATCATCCTATCCCTTTGAATGACCCGGGCGATCCAGAAACCTCAGGAATTTTTTGGAGATGATTCGTTCCGGATATGTCGGGTCCCATACCTCACCACACGATCGTCCCATTATGAGCACGAATCAACGATCGGCTTAAAAGAAGGCTCTTCCACAGAGCGTAGAGTTTAAAAAATCTTTAATTCATACTCAGATTCTTTGCAAATTGTATATCAAACACACCTTAATACTGAGAGACTTTGTTTATTACGTTGAACAAACGTTTTAACCCACTCAATGGGTCATCATCAGGTTATCTCGTTGCTAAATTTCTGCAACGAGCAGACACACAAACACATGCACATTAACACCAGTTCGTTTATAGAGAAAATTACATAATTTTAATACGTAATCCTTATAAATGCTCTACATTCAGTAGAAAGCAAAATTAAGAAATTTTAACTACTGTATATTGAATTTGAGGTTTTTAAAACTAATAAATTGATTAAATACAGTGATACCTCGGTTTTCGTCAATAATCCGTCCGAAAACAATCGGCGAAATCCGAAACCGACAAAAACCGAGGCAATTATTTCCATATGAATCAATTTAAATCCAATTAATTCGTTCTAGACACCAAATAAATACCAAAAATACATTTTATAGAAAATGAATATAGTGTTATAATACTAAAAACAATAAGAAATTAATATAAAATAAAAACAAAAGACTAATGTAAAGAATAAATGAACTTTAACATGGCATTCGAAGAAGGGCTGCTGGTTCTGAAAACTTTGTTTGATCCCACGATGGAGCTAAAAAGGAAAGGAAAGCAATGGAATTGTTTGGCTAGACGCGCGGGGTAATGTTCATACAACGAGAAACAACGACACACTGACAGGAAAACGCATGGGTCGCCCTATGTTTTCGCAAAATTACAGGAAGTTACATGGGCAGGCCGACGAAAACCTAGACAAATTTTTGGCGAGAAAAATCGACGAAAACCGAAACCGACAATAATCGAAGTAAACGAAAACCGAGGAATTACTGTATGTCAT